GATTTACATAATTAGTATTATTTACTTGTTACTATTATCTGATAGAAACGTTTACTAGACATATGGTTCACAAGTCGTGGTAATTCATACTCCATTAATAAAAAATTAAATTTGATCAAAGCAAAATTGGACTCGATCAAATATCCTACGACCACATATCATTTACCATCGCAACTGAGATTTTATCAAACGTACAAAGGGAACGAATACAGATTGACATTACTGTTTGGCTATCAGTAAGTTTGTTGTATACTGGAATTTCTAGCGATATTTTCCAGATAAACAGCAAAGGTTTTTCTTTTCTTACAGTACGTAAAGGCCACCTATCGCCATATACTAAATAAAACTGCATCTGGCGATGTGCTTTTAAGTCAAAAATATAATTTGCTCGAACGGCGATTAAAAACCGTTCTGATTGTTCTTAATATCAGAACTTCGATTAAAAAACCCTTTTGGTACTGTAAAATACTGTCGGCGAGGATACGCACCGATCCCAAAAAGAATGTTAAAGACTCGCATCGATGCGTAAAGAGGCTCGGCGAATAAGATTATCCGCTTTTAGAGATTATCTGAGATGAGCATGACTTAAAAAAAAATGTTGAAAGTATATAAGGAAAAGCATTAAAAATGTCCTGCTTTCACCCCAAAGAGGTAAAAAATTATGCTCTAACTGAATATCATATTTTGCATTCCTTACGAGACGCCTTGCGGAAAATAAGGAGATTACTTAGGTTATTTCTCGTCGAATATCAGACAGTATATCAGATTTTCTAGCACTATTTCTTTAGTTTCAGCGTTATCTCAAACATTTTCAAACTACTTCTAAGTTCGTTTCGAAGAGGAGATTTCTTCTTCCATTGTAAATTCGTAGCATTTAATATTTTCAGCGCAATTTAATCGGTTCTCAATGATCAAAAAGAAAGGATGACTCAAAAACATCAAAACTTCGCGCAGGTTTTTCAAAAGTTCTTAAAACAAAAACGTATCTGTAATGGGAATTTATCAGAATTAGATCCAAGGACGAGTTAATATTATAAATTTTGCCAAAAGTTTGCAAATGCATCTATTTGATTAACTCATGGCTAGAAAGTCATTTTGTGATGAAAACTGGCGTAAAAAATAAGCGTAAAAAAATCTGCGTTAAAAACGATAGCAAAGAATCAATATCCTAAAAGCTGAAAAAGGTTTGTGAAAAGCAGAAAAACCAATTTGGTATCCTGTAATACTATTTCCAGTATTTAAAATACCGTTCTGAATATTTTGAAAAAATTATCCGCATCTTACAGAACCAAAAGGGTATTTTAAGAATGAAAGTACTCTTTTAGCATCCTGCAAAACCAATTTTGGTATTCCGTGAAAAAGGGATTTTACTTTGATAGCAGAAATCATTTTGGTACTTTGGGATACCAATCGCTCGAAGCAGGAAAAACCTCGACTTAAACTTACACTCACTATTTTCTTCGAAAATATATGTGAGTTCCACAAAACCGCAATCTATTTTGATTGATGTTCTACTTTTCATAATAGTTATGCGTATTGACTGATGTTTATATTTTTCAAGGTTAAAGAAAACATCACGAAGATTCAACGTTATTTATTAATTGAATTTTCAATAAACTGAACCAGAAAGTGAACAGTTTATTAATAATACACCAGTAATGTACAAAACCGTACAAAATCATTGAATGTCTTCACCTTGTTTCACTATCTTTGCTACATAGAGTTGAAACTCTTCCGAACTTTCGGTCAATTGTGTATCTTTATAAACATCTGTAACAACATTCAATCCAGGGAAACTGAATAATAATAAGTCTTTTAAGTTTATTAATACATCCGTATTAGGAGCATAAACTATAGATCCATTATCGAATACTAATTCTCATTTTATCCTCACATTTATCCTACGCAATCAACCAAAGAGCGATATTTATGATGCAAAGATGAGGCGCAAAATAGATGTATTTGTAAAAGAGAAATAAAATTACATCAAATTTTTCAGTGGAGTCGAGTATGTAGGCTTAAACTTTCGAGACCAGGTCCAGTCTAAAACTTTTTCCAGCCCATGGGCTTAAAAGTCAAATCCAGTCCAGTTCATAAAAAAATCTTGCTTGCACTAGGTTCTTAGTAGGTAAGCGCCAATACTGATACTGACAAATACTGATGTCGAAAACAATTTTTTTAATGATTTCAGTTAGTGTTTTTCACATTGAAGGAGGCATTTCTGAAACTCGAGTCTCGAACATGAAATATGGTTAATTTAATTTCCTGAATGTGCCGAAACCTAGTTTCCAGAATGCTAGCTGATCTTCAGGATAGAAAGCGATTTTTTGTGTTTTTAACCCTGAAAATCGAGTTGTATGAAGTTGGGCTTAAGAGATCAAAACTAAGAAATTAAATATGACATCTTTTTGTCGTTAGACTCAACTCTGGAAAACACTTCCTTCACAGCAAAAAACCGAAAACTAGACAAAAAATGTTTTTTGGAAACTCGGTTTCGACACATCATTTTTAGGAAATTAAATTTACTGCATTTCATGTTCGAGACTTGTGTCTTAGAAATGCTTCCTTTACGTGACACGACATTACCGCGAACGACATTACCGCGAACGACGTTACCGCGAACGGCATTACCGCGAGCGACGTTACCGCGAACGACATTACCGCGAGCGACGTTACCGCGAACGACATTACCACGAACGACATTACCGCGAACGACGTTACCGCGAACGACGTTACCGCGAACGACGTTACCGCGAACGACGTTACCGCGAACGACGTTACCGCGAACGGCATTACCGCGAGCGACGTTACCGCGAACGGCATTACCGCGAGCGACGTTACCGCGAACGGCATTACCGCGAGAGACATTACCGCGAATACAGAAAACGACATTACCGCGAATACAAAAAACGACATTACAGTGAACGACGTTACCGCGAAGACTCGTTTATTGGAAAAGAAGAATAAATGAGCCTGGTTTTGTACTTTGTATATCATGTGGAGGGAGGTGGGAAGTGGGGAGAGGGCATTGTGAGAGTGAGTTTGAAAAGTATTTTCACATAAAACATATTATCGTGATGGGAAACTAGATATCTGTGGCTGTATGAGATAATGACTAGTCACCACATAACGTCAGTTAAGTTTGAAAACATGATGTACAAAATACAAAACCGGCCTCATTTATTCGGCTTTTCCAACAAATAAGTCTTCGCGGTAATGTCGTTTTTTGTACTCGCGGTAACGTCGTTCGCGGTACTGTCGTTCGCGGTAATGTCGCTGTATCTTCCTTTAATGTGAAAACACTAACTGGAATTATTAAAAAGGTTGTTTTCGACGTCAGTATTAGTCAGTATTCAGTATTCGTCAGTATCGGTATTGCAATAAAAAAGCTTTCACTGAAACCGAACTGAAGTCACTAATGTATATGCCTGATATATTTGAGGCTGATAAAATTAGGCAAAAAAGCTTTTTACTACACTATAATCTACCCGACTACTCTGCGAATGACCTGAGCATGATCGCTATAGAAATCAATCATATCAACGAACAACACCGTTTAGTCGAGAACAAACTGGATCAACAAAATCCAACCGGTCGCTAATTTATTCAAGAAATTTCCTCCCTTTTTTCAGCAGAAGAATTAATTCTAAAGGACAATTTCGTCAAACATAAACTAGTACCTCTTTCATCATAAAGTAAAAAATTTTTTTTTCGCATATCTGTCTACGAAATCATCTTTATCCGAGGACTATCTTATTCAAGAAATTCCACTGCCCTGAACTTTCTGTTTGAAAAAGAAACAGAAAAAGTTCTTTCCTCTTTTGGTTGTTCGTTTTCATTATGTTTTTCATTCTTCACTTCTCACTTCTTTTATATTTTTTTCACTTTTCATTTTCCACTTTTCGCCCGTCTGTGTTCATTTTTCACTTTTCACCTTTTGTTCATACGAAGTAGTAGAAATAGCTTTCTTCTTGTTTTCGTTTTCATTCACCTATATATATATATATATACTATCTGTTTTCTGTTCTCAATCACTCGCGAAGAAGGCTCCCACCGAAAACGCGTCGTCGTTTTGCTTACTATATTATATTACTGCATTTTTCAATAAAACTTTCTTGATCAACAACTATTCATTCTATTAACTGGATAAAATTTTCCATTGCATTACAACCCTATAAATTTATAGCATTATAATGCGTTTCAATTTTTTATCTCGTTACAACACAATCTGATTTGTCTACCGCCTTATAACACAATAGATTCTAATGCATTATAACGCGTTTGAGTTTTCTACTTCGGTATAATGCGTTATAATAGCTGGACAGTAATTGTTTTGAATCCGTAAAAAATGCAGAACGGAGCCCGTATACTAAAATTTCGATAAAAATAGTAGGAGTAGAAATAGTAGAAATGAAATAGTAGAAATCCCGGATTTAGAAAAAAAATATTTTCGACAGAATTGATCCCGGAATAAACTAATTTTTATATTTATTGTGCAGAATTGATCCCAAAAAACTTTTTTCTTTCTGCGAACAAGAGAATTGATCCCGGTTGGCGTGTGTAATGGTCACATAATCCTCTTTCCCAAAGCTCTTCGCTGATTTCTATATACTATATTCAATTCATACTCGCATAGCTGATATTTTCAGTACTGTGAACATTTATATGTAATTGATAAACCACCAATGAATTGTTCCATCCTACCTTGAGTTTTGATAAACCTTAATAAATCAGTTTCGTTTACACACGTAAAAACGAATAGCCATGTCTTTCGAGCCATAGTTTGTTTAATAGTGATAGTAATAGTCAAAAGTAATGTGAGTGAAAAAAGTATGAAAAAGATGTGACCGTTACACATTGCTATTGTTTATGTCTCAACGCCGTCTTTACATTCGCACCACACGTCAACCTGGATCAATTCTCTTGCTCGCAGATAGAAAAAAGTTTTCCGGGATCAATTCTGCACAATAAATATAAAAATTAGTTTATTCCGGGGTCAATTCTGTCGAAAATATTTTTTTCTAAATCCGGGATCATTTCTACTATTTTTATCGAAATTTTAGTATACGGGATCCATTCTGCAATTTTTACAGGATCTTTTCAGCTTTTTTCCATAATGGGTTAGATGTTTTATCTAATTATAACGCCATAAATTTGAAAAAATCTTTTACAGCGTTATAACTCATTAGATAATGCATATCGTATTGTAAAGAATTAATATCTAATAGATTACAATGCATTATTCTTTGCTATCTGAATGCAACACGATAAGAAAATGGAATGGTGTATAATTAGGTGTTAATGCGTATAACGAGTTAGACAATATGCGGAACGAAAATACATGGTTTTCTCGTAAAACACATATTTCCGTAAAATTCTGAGACTGCCAATCAATTCCTCTCGAAACGTTGGCCTGGAAAAGATTGGTTCGACTATATCAGACTTGTACGTTAGTGACTTCAGTTTTGGTTTTAGTGAAGGCTTTTTTACTACGATACTGATACTGACGAATACTCGAAATACTGAATACTGACTAATGCTAATGTCAAAAGCAACTTTTCTGATAATTACAGTTAGTGTTTTCACATAGAAGGAAGCATTTCTCACTGGGCTAATGACAAAGGGAGGTTTTTGATGATGTATTGAGGGTGCGGTGAATTGTAGTTGAGATATTAAAATGTATTTGTAGGTTTTATGTATAAATTTGTTTCGAGACGGTTGAGAAAATGGTTGATGGTGATGATAATATAGAGATAATTAATGGTGGTATTGCTTTGTTCAAAACTGTATTGTAAGTGTTTGTTGTTGCTGTTTATTTTATCGATAAATGCTTGAATGAGGACAGACGAAGATTAGAAGTTGAAATAGAAATAGAAATTAGGAGTAGTTTGTATTTGGAAAAATGCAGAATTGAAAGGGCTACAAAACAGGCTATAGGGCGTTGTTTCAGACTTAAGTTTAATAGATTTAATACTAACCGGATAGAAAACTAGAAAAATCTGGAAAAAAGCAGTAGAAATGTCTTTGGGGGCTTTTCGTACATATCATGCAGCTTGATGGAAAAATGCTGTGGAGACCTCCGAGAAGTCTTATTTTCCTCCGAAATGTTTACCCTATCCAGCAAAACCATTAACACAAAACTACCGATAACAGCTAGGATACTTGAAAGTAGGCCTTTGGGTTTTCCTTAAATTCTGGTCTTTAAACGTTTTGAGAAAATTTCTGTATACGCCTTGCCGTATTGACAATCACATTTACACGATGCACTTCAGAAACCTCCAAGAAAATAATGCTCTTTTTACTTATTTTGAAAGAAAGAAACTGTAAAATTAAACTTACCAGGCATACTCAGATCAGCAAAACTAATTTTAACACAGTAAACATTGTGTTTTAACGTTTGCACTTACGTCAGCTGTGATGCCGTCGGTTTTAATGATGATTCTCAAGATATGACCCTTTTCAGAGTGTAAAGCAAACGATTTTTCGTGCACCATAGAATTTTTCATATGATTGTCAGTAGTATTGCCGCAGATTTTATCAAGTTAAAATTGTATGTTTTTGAATATTGCCAAAAATTCTGGAGTGCATCGGGTAAATTTGACCGTAAATATTCCTTTCGGGATACAAAAATAAATCTTGATCGGGCTAAGATATCCTCATCAGGATATATATCCCGTTCGGCCTATAATATATATCCTCTTCGGATGTATTTTTATATCCCGAAAGGGATATGGTATACTGATGACACATCAAGAGACGGTGCTTTTTGTTTTCGGATGTGCGGATGTGAGTTCAGCTTCGAAGAAAACAAGGTTTATCCATAGCAAGACTACAGAACATTTAACTTGTAAAAGTCCTACGTTGAAATAATCAAAGGCAAGAAGAACAGCAACAATATTGACTACAGATAGTTTGAAGTACATTCTTTATTTCTCATCTTTTTCCTGTATTTGTGTCTATGTTATTGTCTTTCCTTGTGTTCTATGACCTAAAAGCGATAGAGTGGTATGAATAATGTTTCTGAACTGAGTTTCTGAACCTTAGAATTTGATGGCTCTTAGTCCAAAACAACATCTTCTATAATTTCTTTACACATAAATTACAAACAAATTTAAAGTTTTTGTTAATAAAATAATCATTTTATTCGAAATGATAACTCGACAATTTTAATAGATTTTAAAATTCGATTTTCACTAAAAGATTTTCCATTTGATTATCCACAACTTAGCCCAAACCGGTTTTAAAAATACTTATCATTGTTGTTGAGTAAATATGCGAGACAGGGGTTGCGAATGAAAACAGCATCATTTTTTGAAAAACATAAATTTACAATAACTCAGTCATCTAGTTTTGTTTCAAAGTGACCGAAACTTGCACAAAAACATCATCGTACACTCAGCTACATTCTGCACAAACAGAGTCGAAAACAGGTTTGTCCTTACAGCTTAATGCTTTCTTCGGTTATGATAAGTCATGACTTTTCCATATACACTTAATACAGGATTTCGACAAGTTGATTATTCTTACTTGAAATTTATGTACAAAATTCAATTAATCACATTAAATGCGATGTTAACAAGGCATTTCATTATCTATACAACTATAGAAAACAAGATTTTGTCATGGAACCAGGAGAAAAAAATGAAGGTTTTTCAACTATTTGTATTCTTTCGACTTTCGTTTGATATAAGCCTAATAATATTTCAAAGTGTTTGTCTCAATCTTTCTATATTGATTTTATGTATGTGCGTCCAGTTATATGATCTATAGAACTGCAAAGTATTAAAGAAGAATACTCAGGACAAAGAAATTCTTTTAAAGAGGAGAAAGTAAAAACATACATTCTGCCTTAGTGATAAAGACCTTGATAGTATATATATACACGAATAATTTAATTGCTCATGCTACTGGCAGAAGTAATTTG